ATCAGATAACTGGTGAGTCGTTTGGCTAGCACAGTGAAGAACAGCTTGCCTTCCACATTGAGCAAGGAAATGTTCCTGAATTGCTGAATAGAGGATGAAATCTTCTCTTTAGGTATCAGAACTCCCCCTGCTCTCCTCCAGGCCAAAGGCACACACTGCTTTCTCCAGGCCACACGCATGAGCTTCCAGAGAATACACAGAGTCTTTGGACACATCTTGTACACCCTGTAAGGAACTCCGTTTGGTCCTGGAGCTGCGGATGCTCTGGCCCTTCGAATCGCTGTTGTAATCTCACTCCACTTGGGTGGGGAGATGTCCATGGGAACTGACGGTTGGGCCGGTCTCGGGATGTAACCAGGCGGCCCTAGTGGCTTGTGCCTTTCTGGATCGGTGTATGTCTCTTCTAGGTGAGCTTCCAGTTCCTCTTTTCCGACATTGAGGGAACCCCCTTTCTTCTCCTCTAGCAGGGCCCTAGCGAATTTGTACGGATTCTTGAAGAACTCTGCCCGTTGTTTCTGCTTCCTCTTCCGCTTCTTTCTCAGTCTTTCTGCCCTCCTCAATGGTTTCAGCCTAGCTCTAACTTCTTCCCACAACACTTGGAGACCGGCTTTTTCCTCCGGGCTCGCTTTCCTCCACAACTTCCTTAACTGGCGCCTTCGACGTACAAGTTGGAGTATCTCTCTCTCTCTCCTACCGAAACTGTTCCTACTAGGCTGACGCTCTCCAACAACTACTGTTCCCAACCTTCCGCTGCAGAAGTTGTACACCATCTCCCCTACACTATTCAGCTTTCGCTCGATGTCTCCTTTGAGCCCTTGTTCCAGAATATTGCTTAGGTCGCTATCTAGCTCTTCCCACGCTGCTCTGTTGTTGGCTTTGGGCCATCTTATCTTCTCCTTCTTGACGAACTCAACCTCCTCTACATGTTGACTTGTTGTAGCTTCTTCTTCAAGGGGACTACTCTCTACTGGCTCTAGGCTTGGTGTCTCGGTTGGGTGCTGGACACCTGTATCTGGCCTCGACTCCTCCGGGGGAGCACCGTTGCCAGGAGCAGACGCACCGCTGGTGAAGTCCTGGGGTCTGTGGTTTACTACCCGCCCCCTGTCCTCGTTCGTCTGACCAGCAATCGCTGTGCGGGTGCGCTGCATCCGGTCCTGGCACTTCATCCTCCCCTGGTGAATACGTAGACCCCTATACGTGGTGACGCGTTGCCAGCCGCAGCTGCATGTCCTCATCACCGCTCTTTCTCTTTGGTCCTTAGTTCGTTCCTTGTTCGTCACCTGTTGGTCTGGTCCAATGGGTCCATCTCGCTTCCCCGCTCTCGCTGGACCCCGGGGCTGACTTTCTTTAGTACTCGCTGTAGTAGGTAGGGTGACCATCCGTGACGGTCAGACGAGGTTGGGTTACGAGCCCCCCCGTCCCCATGCAGGTCTCTCCCTGCGGTCACCAGCCTGTTCCTGGTGGTCAGCCAGCCTGTTCCTGGTGGTCAACCAGACTGTTCCTGGTGGTCACTGGGCAATCCTTTGAGTACTTGAGTACTGCGATTCAAGGAATCGCCTTGCGTGAAGTCTACAGCAAACAATCTGATTCCAAATAAGGATAGCAAGATCTTTCAAAAGTCTATCAACACAGTTTTGTAAATACCTGCAGCCAGTGTCCAATACCGTTGTATTTGAGTGTCCAGCTCCAAAAATGGTTTAACCGTGCACGTCCCGATGCACTACTATCAAGCTCAGATTCAGTGATGCTGTCATCAGGTATGGCGCCAGATTCCATCCCAAGCTTACTCTGACAGACTGGGAGGGGGGAAAAGAGGTTCAAGTTGACTTTGCATGTCATGAATATGTCACCTACAGGTAAAAAATCTTAATTACATTTGCCCCCAAATCAGCAAAGCAGCTTGGAAGAGTTCGAATATACAGTACCAGACGGAGGTCTTATAGTCATTTCTTTTTCTCACCTGTGGAGAATGTCCCGTTTATACCTCCGTTTGGCTGGTCGTCCTCGCCAAAAGAAGTCAGCGTGAGGGTGTATTCCGTGCGGGCTAGCAGTCCCTGCATGGTTGCCGAGGTGGCGTCCGGTCCTGGTGCTGGGGAGAGGTCTTGATACGAGCCCGACCCGTCTGCCGGCTGGTAGCGGAGCCTGTAGCGCGAGATCGGAAGACTCCCCTCGACTCTCCAGGAAACGGTGAGATGACTCAACCCGGCATCATCGAGGGTCAGCCCCCAGAGCAATGTAGCTGGGAATACATGACATATTGATTAGCAACTATCAAACACTACAAGTGTCTGTAATGCAATGGAAGAACGGAACCCTACCGTTAGTAATGTTTTATTGCAAATTCGTACCCGAGGGCTAATTGCAGGAACAGAAGAAACATATGGTATAAAAACAATTAGTACACATAGAACTACTGATAACTACTAAGAAACTACAAGTAAAAACTACTGGGTTTGACTTCTTTTTTGCGGCAGAAGACAAAGGATCCCACTTTTTCTGTAGTCTGTGGGTTTTCGGATGTTAAGAGGAGAGTAGTTTTCTCTTTATTTGTATATGTGTGAAAGTCTGGGTAGAATTTGGAGGCTACGTCAAAGAGTTCATTTCGTTCATTGCTATAGAGGGTACAATTTGAGATAAAATGTCTTCCACCGTATCTAACATACAATGTTTGCCAATTCGTTCATACATTGTACACTTGTTCTTATAACTCCCTCTCTCAATTTCGAGAGGGTGTCCACTAACCCGTAATTTACTTATTGCAGAGCGATTGTTAAAATCAATCAAGTCCAGGTATTTTTCCATAGAATATGTTGTTTTACGTTTTTTGTAGAACCTTAGGCTTAGCTTACCAGAATCAATATTTAACTTGTGGGAAATAGTTTGTACATACATATCAGAAATTCTTAACCTTAACATGGTGCATACAGATTTGATGTCACAAGTAGAGTTACATGAACAGAACAAATAATAATATCCACTTGAATCTAATATTTCTTTCACACGATGTAGCAAGGTTCTTCTATGACAATGCGCATTTTGTTGAAACAGAAGAGCATCAACTTGCAGCGGATGCCTATTACAATCCATCTGTACAAGTCGGAGCCAATATTTGATAACACGTAGTGAAATATCTATATCTAATGGCAGTCTGCCCAATTCAGCCCTAGATGCTAAATTACTGCTATTTCTAAAAAAACCTACTATATTCTTACAGTAACGAAGGTGAATAATTTCAACTGGTGAATTGTCATTTAATAATACAGACTAGAATCTCAGCCCCATGGCAGTGGAGATGTGGTAATGGTAGTCTCCACCAGACTCCTTTTGCTGGCTGAATAAATAGTAGAAGTCGGCCTAAAAATCGCAGGCCAATTCGACCCTCGATGGCCGGGAAACTCTTTTGGCCAATTATATGCCTTTTTTAAGGTCGATTTCTACGATTTATTCAGCCTGCAAAAGGAGTCTGGTGGAGACTATGGTATAATGCCAGGAATGTGCAGTAAACTGACTAGTACAACAACAGAAACCTACAGTTAATGTTGCAGCCAAGAATCTCCACCCTCATGGCTATGTGACGCCTCCAGGACTGAGGGTAGAAGCGCACATAACGGGCAGCAATGGGGTTGTCCAGTAGGTTGGTTACAGGTGTGTTCTCGTCCGTATTGCCTGCAAAAACCTGAAAAGTAAAAAAAAAAGGATGATTCAGATGAGGGCATTTTGCAACTGTTTTGTAAATGTCATTTGTGAATGACGTGGAAGACGCTTTCAAGTTTGGTTCGAGTGGGAGCTCGACCAAATATAAGTATAT